TAAAAATAACGATTTCCCATCCACCACTGCACTTCCACGTTAGCTTTCAGAAAAACACACCAGTGTAGGCCTCCTTTCTCCCTTTGATACACAAATGCCTGTAAAGTCATTCATTGTGTTTGTTAAAGTCACGTATATATCTATCTAGATTGCATTTAAATGTATTTAATGTAATTTTTAGGTAGCTGTTTGCAAGAAATGTGTTAATTTTATGTATTTGTGAGAGACATTTTTACAAGCATATTGTAATGTCAGTTTATCTGATTGTATTGCAGTTTTACGTAACTATTCACAGAAGTAAATCCGGTTTTGGAATGAAACACAATACTGCTTCTGTTAGTTTTGTTAGCTAGCTGTTGTGTTGGCTAACCATTAATAGGACAGCATAGAAAAGTAAAAAAGGTCAGAAAAAATTACACAATTCAGTTTCCTTAAACTTCCATGGGGTTAAGGCACTATGTGTTTGGGGTTCACGGATTTGCAGCTTGATTTGGTGAATGTGCATTGTCTCAAGCTTTGCTTGGTTTGCTCAACCCTACACAGTACAATATGTGAAAAAGTAAGTTAAGTACATTATAAAAAGACTAAAGCAATCACCACATATAAGTCTGGTATGCCGCAATGGAAAAAAATGAAAAAAAAAAAAACATCAGAGGTACAGGAGTACCGCCCCTTAATCTTGCATGCATACATACCGTAATGACTTCAGATCAGATAATCCATCAGAAGTCTGGGGGTGAACAAACTTTGCTGCCCTCTTCAGATTTGGGAGATGCTTAGGAACTGGAACAAAGCACACAAAGAGAAGGAGCATCATGCATTAACAAAGAAACACATCAATGATCCAACCAGTACAAATGATGTCCATGCACATAGAGCAAGGCTTACATGGTTCCAGGGCAGAACCCTCTTCATCAGAGCTATTAAGCTGCAATATTTTACATTTTTGTTCTTGTATTTAGATATACTGTACATAGAGGTGCATTTATATAAAAAAAATGTTCATAGCTTTTCATCCCTTAAAACAATATAAAACATTTGTAAAATGTGAATGTGGCAAAGTCGAATATTCTCAAGCTGTATTTTCTACAGCTAAAATGTGTGAATTGGGAAAATATCGCATTCTGGCCACTAGATGACACTGAGAACTATAGGAAATAAGTATGCTTTTCAGGTCAATCTAGTGGCCATAATATGGTATTTTCAAAATTAACATATTCAATCTCCAGAAAACTTAGCCTGACCTTTCCCCATTCACACAGAACAAATTTACATGCAGTTTTGATGGATGAACAGCTATGCAAATACATCCCTAAACTTAGCTTGAAGGAGAGAAATCCTTCCCATTTTTTCACCTATTTCCACTCCAAGTGCAGAATAATTTGATGGAATTCTTCTTGCTCTTCATGTCTTTTGGCTACGACAACAATGTACAATAATTGTGGAATTTATTACTCATAATTATCTTTTTTTTAAGCTTATTTCCTATGATTAATATGATTGAAAAGATGAATTGGAGACTAATTGTCCGATATTACTAAACGATGAAAACAGATTAAGATATGAATATCCCCACAGTGGGATAGGGACATGCAATTAGTGAAAGGATTATATATGAGATAATGGTGACTATAATTTAGTTAAAACTGGACTTGCTCATAAATCACATGGGAGATCCATTATAACGTATTTATCTTTGTTCCATTATTCTACAGAAGGGTATTTATCATTTTCCATAAAACGCTCTTACGTCCTGTCTTATTCTTTTGTGGGGGCTTGCCTTTTTCCCTCAAGAAAGTGGGAAATCCTTAGCTGAAGGCATTATCCCCTTTGATCACTTCAGTCCGCTTGAACAGAACAGATAAAGCAGTTTATATATGTGACAATTGGCAGCAGATTGATCATAGAATTATTGGTCAATTGTTTTAGACAGATTTACATTGATCGTCATGGTTTGCTTGTAAACATATGTAGATGATCAATTTTTCATACATCTTGATGAGATATCCATTGAAATCAATTCATTTGAAAAGAAGTATGTTTATTATTAAACTGTTGTGTTGTTAAAAATAGTTTTTGGTTAAAGAAAGTATATGATTGGGTAAAATGTAAAGAAAACCTGTAACTTATTCTACATAATTGAGGGGGGAAAGGTGTTCTGTAATCCAGCAGGGGTAGAACTCAGGCAGGGTTAATATCAGTGCTTGGGATTTCAGCGCAGCGATGTGTGAATTAACTACAGGAGATTAGGATCTCATTGGATTTCTGGTAGGATCGAAATATGTTTTTCTGTACTTGCAGTGTTTTTAAAGAGACAAAACATGATTTTATTATTTTTATTGATTTATTACAGGCACTTATATAATGCCCTCCATTTACACAGCGTTTTACATTAATATTGTACATTCACAGCATTAAGAAGTGTACATGTACTGTGGAGACCCAGACAGGGTGAACCACAAGTACACAGTACACTTGTAGCACTACCCCCTTAGGGGCTGCTGTATTTGGTTTGGGTACCCCCAAGCGCTGCACAGCCAGGCAACACCCATTTTCCACACTTGCACATCCAAAGTCAGTAAACAGTCCATGGACTTGGGTTTTTTTTTTATTAAGGAATTGAACTTGGATAAGGTAAAGAGGTTATGAGTTGCCCAATTTGATTGAAGAAATTGCAGAATGAGGACGTTTCCTGCTCTATCACACTTAGCAAAAAAAACAACAGACACCTGACTGCGTTCCAGCTGGAACCATTACATTCATTAGTAAACTAATACCCTTCTAGGAGCATGGTGTGTAGGAGCTCTTGGTTCCCTTGGTGCACAGAACACAAGCCCATCTGGCTATGGTATCAAATTCCAGGACTAGGGATTGGGTAAACTATGAACTGTCCCCTGACGACTTGCCAGAACTTGCATCCAGCAGATTTCTCCCTTCTAGGCTCTGGGAGTGTAGAGGTACTCACACTGTCCTTGTCCTGCAGCTATGACTAGAACTGCTTTCAGGCCTTCTAGGTGGGCTGGTTACTCTCCAAGCTTTGCAGGCTGTCCTTCCCCGTTGGATGGCAGGGCAGTGTAGCTCCCTCTTTCAGCTTCTCCTTAACTTCCAGCCTCCAACCTGGAAGCAGAACCCCCCTCCTCTGGGGCTTCCTCCCAGGCCACAGAGCAACACCTCTCAGCAATCTATCTTCCACCTGACTCCCCTGCTAGCATGACTTGCTCATATTTATGGGTTAGTCTACCACACTCTCAGGGCCTCTTAGCCTGTGATTGGTCAGATTCCCATGAATTTGCAGATTGAGGTCTCTACCCCTCTACCTACTGGCTTCTGGAAGCTTCCGTGGACCTCCAGAACCAGGTGGAGGCAACAGAGTCCCAACTTGCTGAGTCATCCAGCCTGACTTCACACTGAACCCACAGAAATGTAGGTCATCCACTACCATGAACCAAAAATAAATTTACCTTGCACTAGCCCCACCTAGTGGGTGCTACACACTATTCTATCAACAAAGTACAACTGTTCAGGGGTAGCAACAATGAGAACCCAGGGGGAATGTTCCAGAAGATGGGGGGGGCTGCCAATAAAAAAGTATTTTTGCGCTTGTCCTTCAGTGTTAATATCATCAGCTCACACAGGATGATGCACACATTTAAAATATAGTAAAGGTCATACATTGTTCAATGTAAAAAGCCATATGTATATACACCGATCAGTCATAACTTTATGACCACTGACAGATTAAGTGAATATATTGATTATCGAGTTACAGTGGCATCTGAATGTCGGTGGGATATATTAGGCAGCAAACGAACATGTCTCGGAAGAAAGCGTGTTGCAAGCAGAAAAAAATGGACATTGCAGTTTGCTGTATATGGAGCTGCATAGCTGCAGACTGTTCAGGGTGCCCATGCTGAGTCAAGTCCACAGCCAAGAGCACCTACAATGGGCCACGGAGCAATGGAAAGAAGGTCTGATGAAGAACATTTTTTTTTACATCATGTGGCGGGATGGGTGTGTGTGTTGCTTACTTGGGGAAAAAATGGCACCAGGATACAGTATAAGAAGAAGACAAGCTAGCAGAGGCAATGTGATACTTTCTGCAATGTCCTGCCATTCATGTGGATGTTACTTGACACATTCCACCTACCTAAACACTGTTTACATTCCTTCATGGAAATGGTATTCCCTGATGGCAGTCGCCTCTTTCAGCCGTATAATGCACCCTGGCACACTGATTCAAAAATGTCTTGAGGAACACAACAAGAGTTTGTGGTGTTGACTTGGCTTTCAAATTCTCCAGATCTTAAGCCTCGTATACACAATGAGAATATCAGATGTATGATCATCCTTTTTTTTTTGCATGCTAGTCTCATATTGAAAATTAAGAGGTTACTAAAGTTATGAAAATTCTCGCATGACAGAATACACCTTTGGAACTGATGTAATTTATTGTATTGTAATCTATTCTTTCATTTCTAAGTATTCACAGCCTTGGTCAATCAATTATTTTGGGACGAATACTGATTAACCACTAGCCTACAGGGCACGTTTACCCCATTCCTGCCCAGGCCAATTTCCAGCTTTCAGCTTTTTCACACTTTGAATGACAATTGTGCGGTCATGCAACACTGTACCCATATGAAATTTTTATCATTTTTTTGTGACAGATAGAGCTTTATTTTGGTGGTATTTAATCACCTCTCTTTCTTAAACAAACCAAAAACCACTGAACATTTTGAAAAAAAAAGTTTTTTCTTAGTTTTAAGTTATAAAATGTTGTAAATAAGTGATTTTTCTCCTTCACTGATGTGTGCTAATGAGGCTGCAGTGATGGGCACTGATAGGCTGCACTGATGGACACTGATAGGTGGCACTGATGGGCACTGATGAGGAGGCACTGGTAGGTGGCACTGATGAGTATTGACAGGCATCATGATGAGAACTGAAAGGCAGCACTGATAGGCGGCACTGATATGCGGCACTGATAGGCGGTACTGACTGGCATTGATAGGCGGCACTGACTGGCACTGTTAGGCAGCACTGATGCACACTGATAGGCGGCACTGACTGGCACTGATAGGCAGCACTGACTGGCACTGATTGGTAGCACTGATAGGTGGCACTGACTGGCATTGATAGGTGGCAATGATGGGTGACACTGAACGGCAGCTCAGATGGGCACTGATATGTGGCATTGATATGCACTGGTAGGCACTGGTATGTGGCATTGATGTGGCACTGATGGGCACTGGCAGGTGGCATGGATGAGCACTGACAGCTGTCACTGATGGACACTGACAGGTGGCACTGCTGGGGCTAAACAGATCATCAGGGCACACTGATCATCAGTGCCCTGATGATCAGTGCACATGTCCCCTCTGAGGGATGTCGATTACCGGCTCTGCTCTCCTCTCGATCTGTCAGCGTGAAAGCTTGTGAGGAGAGAAATGCCGATAACCAGCATTTCCCTATTTACATGTGATCAGCTGTGATTGGAGAACCGTTATCAGCACAGCTCTACAGATTAGTTTCAGTTCATAGGACTTCTGTAGACATCTTCCAAGCATTTCTTGCACTGAGCTGATGTAGCGCTACCCCCAAAGGAGCCACTGTAGTTCAATCGGGCACTCTTCATTGAGGGAGAGGTTAATACTCACAATACCGCAGGACAGCTATGCAATTTCCAGCTTCCACCTGGTACTCATCAGTGAGTCCTCCAGACCAGATCCTTATCTCCAGAATGATTTAATAAACGGGCCCACAGCTATGCCGCAGCTGGGACCTCGATGAACTTGCAGCAAACTCCATCAATCTGTCTCAGAGGGCCAGAGCCCCTGAGGCTTGGGACTCCTTTAGTAGGACTAGACCAGGGCAGCTCTAAGCTTCAGACTATTTATGTACCTATTCAGCCACCTACTAGGCACACCATAATATTGAGACTGCTTTTTTGATTTCCAGCCCACTATGTTCTAGAGTCTTCTAAAATGCAGGCAGAACCAATCAAACCTGCAACCTATGAGATCCTGAACAGCCCAAAGCAATTTACAAGTGCTCCACTGAGAACAGTGGAGCCAAAAATAGCGGGAGCAAGTTAGAACAAAAACCAAATGTGAAATTCTGCATGAAACCCGTACATCCAAGTTTTGTCATGGTATCCTTGACAAGAAGGACAGGTCATCCACGGGATGCTGAGGTCTTGGAAGATTTTGATGTGGTGTCCCTTCTGTTCCTGGGTCAGCAGCCTGGGAACGAACTTGGCAGCAACACGGCCCATATTCAAATCACAACTGAAGATTGCCTGGACTGTTCCGAATGACACACCTACAATGGCAGCAATGTTGTGGATTGTTCTCTGATGATCATCAAGCACAAGTTGCCGAATGGTTTCAACATTTTTGGGGGTTGAGCTCATTGAAGGTCTTCCAGATTTCTCGTTGTCTTACAGTGATGTTCTTCTGCTCTTGAAATGAGTGTGCCACTCAAAACACCTAGAACGACTCATTGCAGCATCGCTGTAAACTAAAAGTTTCACGCAGAATTTCACGTTTGCTCTTTGTTCTAACTTACTGTCCATGATGAAATAGCAGACGTGGTAATGCACATGGTCAGAAAAGCACCAGTTGCACAGCTCCCGATGTACACAGGACGATGTCTTTGGACATACTGACTTAGGAAGGTCAGTGCTTCCTGTGACTGTGCATGCAGCCTTGTCTTGCCATCTGTTGTTGTGTTACAAATAAAACTTTTTGATACCGCCTCGTATGTTGGTATGAATGCATGTGTGATATGGACCTTAGATTTTAAACTCTTTGTGAACAGAGACTGACGTGTGTAAAGCACTGTGTAAATTGTCAGTGCTATATAAACACGTGAAATAAATAAATCTGGACTATTGGGAACTGATTTGTTACCTTAAGTTCAAGTGTTGCTGCAGCTCCCAGTCATAATGAATCTCAAAAGATATTGTGCAAATGTATTAATTTTTCCTGGCAGGAATACTTCTTCAAGGTAATGTATGGACTGTCTATGCAGCTGATCATTTTCTTTGCCATTGATGATGTTCTAATTTCCTGTGTCACAGATTTCCCAGCACGTCGATGATAAAACCGAGTTATTTCATGTTAAGTGTTCAGTATGACACACAGGATATATTGCCGCTGATATATAAAGCCGTTTCACTGAGACACACACTACAGATTCTTATTTCTGGTACAGCAGAAGTCTGCTTTTATTTTTTACCAAAGATTAATTCACTTTGTATAGATTGCTATTCCAGCATGCCCAGAAACCATTTAGTGATGTTTTCTCTGGTAACAAAATTACATTCACATAAGAGGTAACCACATTATGGAGGTAATAAGCAATAAGCTACTTACACGGGGGGCATTCTTTCGCTTCTCCTTAATGACGCATTCCAGCACGCTGACATAATATGACTCATCTGACATCATTTGACATTTAATCCTCCAATGGTAGGTCCATCCTTATTTTTGATTATCTTTCACCTTACTCTGATATCAATATGTGTTAACCATTTGCTCTCCAGAAGATTTACCCCCTTCCTGACCAGGCCATTTTTTGCTATTTGCACTACGCTACTGGTGATTGCACGGTCATGTAACGCTGTACGCAAACAAAGTTTGTGTCCTTTTTTCACACAAATAGAGCTTTCTTTTGGTGGTATTTGATCACCACTGGCTTTTTTATTTTTGTGATATAAGCGACAAAAAGAATGAAAACTTTGAAAAAAATATACAAAAAAATATAAATACCCTCCTGCGCTTAAATGGGTACAATTAGATCAAACAAATAGCTGCTATCACCTAACCTGATTTCAAAAGGTGCAATAAATTATAAAACAAATAGTGAAGCGCTAACAATACAGTACAAAACACAAGAAATGTAAAATAAGCATACACATGACAAATACATTGACATAAACAAAGTGACAAACCAAAGTGATGATCCAAACGGATTGCATAAAGTGTTGCTGATGGTGAACAGGTACAATCTGTACTCTACCAAGTGAACCCTTTCCCAATAGGGGAAAAATTCAAACCAGCCACCCCTGGTCCACTAGGGGACTGATACATAAATCGCGTGACCCCTATGGGGATGAAAACACGGCAAACCGTGACCAATAAATAAATGAAAAAAATATAATAATAGTGGTCCCTCCTAAAGAAATAAATTAATCATGAGTGAAAGTCCAAAAAAATCCACACTAGTGCTGGAAAACAGTATGGATTTCCAACATGCAAAGTAACTGTTGGTCAACAGCTGTGTGCTTGTGATAGGTGATCTTCAAACACGGTGCAGATAAATCCTAAATGGCAGAAATGGCCCCTCACCTCAAAGCGGTGACCACAAGGGCCAACTAACCTTATGAATACCAATCCAAGGCAACGTCCAGGCCAGGAGGTAGTATGGAATCCACTGCTGCTAGCAATCTCAGGTCACACTCCCCACATAGCGTCAAAGATATAAAAACAGGACATCCTCCATAGTGTAAAACATTTTATTACAATCAATAAGCAAATAAAAATGCCCATGGAGGTTGTCCTGTTTTTATATCTTTGACGCTATGTGGGGAGTGTGACCTGAGATTGCTAGCAGCAGTGGTTAAAGTTATTTTAAAAAACATATGTTACATATCCTACATATGTTGGATACTAAAATAGACTATGATTCAGGCCTTCTTCTTGTCCACCTGGGAGATGTGTATTCTCCATAGTATAACGTAAATTAAACATCCAGCAGGTAGAGTGGACCCTCCCTTATATTGGGCACAGAAGATATACAGGTGGAACAAAGCACAGAGATCTCACCAATTAAACTCTAAAGAGTTACCCTATAAGGCCAAGTGACTGGGAACACCTACTCATCACCTGACCATCACACCTACCTAGATGGCCAAAATGATGGAGTGCAGGTGTTTTCAAGGGTACTGTCAATGCTACAGCATACAAAATATATTTTAGACAATTATATCACAAAATATCATTGTTGTAACAGTTTAGGGAAGACCCTTTTCTGTTTGAGCATGACTGTGCCCCTGTGTACATAGCCAGTTCCATAAAGACATGGTGTGATAAGTCTGGTGTGCAGGAACATGTCCCCATATTAATGCTCATTACTGCCCAATTCTCCTTTTTGAACTACAGAATACCACCCCCTACATTCAGATGCGAAATGGGAGGTGTTCTGCAGTCCTAGCACACTTCCTGTCCTAGAGTGACAATGGTGCTCTTCTAATACTGTACAGTTAGCGCTGGTTCACATATATGTGAATCTGATGCATTTCGTAACGCATCCAGTTTGTTATTATTATACGGGATTTATATAGCGCCAGCAGTTTGCTCAGTGCTTTACAATATGAAGGGAGACAATACAGCAACAATACAGTTCAATACAGGAGGGTTAGGAGCAGGGGCGAGGGCCCGGGGTCAGTAGGGGGCCCCATGAGATGCCCCTGGTACCTTTTTCATAGGCTTTTTTTGAGTTTGGGCAAGGACACAGGGGCCCCATGATTCCCTATTGCCCGGGGGCCCCATGAGTTGTCAGTCTGCCCCTGGTTAGGAGGGCCCTGCTCCTTGGAGCTTACAGTCTAAGAGATTCACATGACATATGAAATAATATTGGTTTCTATTGTACCTGTTCACATACTGTATATACGGTGCAACCGAAGTGCTGATTCAATGTCCTATTTTGGGACGCCTGCCAAATAGAGTTAGGACCACAGAATGTCGGGGTATCGTGATGTGGCTCTGTGGCTTACTGAGGTGAATTCCCCATCCTGTCTGTGGATATATGTGTTCTTGGAGAGTGGGCAGCCTGGTGATCCTGGAGGTTGGAGGTTGGCTATATTTTGGTGGAGTGGCGATCTGGAGGCTTACTGACTGGGTCTAGGATCCTAAAAAACCCTAAAGGCGTTTTTTTTCACCAGCATCTGGTGAGTGCGGTATATATATATATTCTTTGAGCACTATCTTTGTAAAGAGGACTTTCAGAGATTTGTTTCACCTATTTGGAGTGGGACTTATAATTTCATATATATATATATATATATATATATATATATATTTTTTTTTTTTTATTTTATTATAATACTTTGGAGTGACATTTACTAATTTTTTATATATATATATATATATATATATATATATATATATTTTGCGCTGTTTTTTTTGGTTTAAATATTTTTTGGTGTGGGTTTGCACTGAAGAGCAGCAGCATTTATTTGTTTATTTAATTGGTCTAATTTTGGCGCTGGTGATTTATGTTTAAAAAATTCAGTATTGATTTGGCCAACCCTTTGCAGCTATAACGGCTTCAACTCTTCTGGGCAGGCTGTCCACAAGGTTTAGGAGTGTGTCTATGAGAATGTTTGACCATTCTTCTAGA